TTTTTCCAAATGTAACATTCCAATCAATGTAATCCCAAACATAACACTCCAATATAACACACAAAAATACTGAAATATTCCTTAGTGTATTTTCTCAAACGTAATACTCACATTTTAAAATTATACATTTATTCAAAACTTACTACGAAATTTTTATATTCCTTTTGGAATGGTTTGAAAAATCTCATATGCTTTTGAAATGGTTTAAAGAATCTCATATAGACTAAGGACTTTTTCTGTGTGTTACATTACAGTGTTACATTAAGAAATTTTTTTGAAATGTTACGCTTAGAAAAAATACACTAAATAATTTTTTTAAGGCGAATTACACTAACAATCCCTATAGTTTGTAATTTGTATCATTTTGATCCCCGAATTTTGAATCTCGTTCCAAATAAAAACAAGGAGTTGTTTGGGGTATTCTAAATAAATGACTTTTTGTCTTTTTGGACTAAAATATTGAGAAAAAAAATATGGATGTTTGGGTTAATTTTTTGACTTTTTATGAAAAAATGTGTATTAAAAAATTTTATAAATAAATGTGTAGGAGAAGAGAGTGTAGTAGGCCGTATCGGTTGGCAGTGCAGTCGGTTGGGTGAGTAGATAGGAAAAAATTGCCTCTTTTTCGGGCTTTGATTGGACGGTGTTGTTCGGCCCATGGGGACCCACCATGGGTCATTTTTTTTAATCGAAACCGTTGAATGTGTAGAACTCGTCGAGTACTATACACGTGTAAAAAATCACGTTGATTGGATATCGATAGCTATCTGATCATGTTAGTTTTTTTGTCAACTGTTAACTATAATACCATCCATTTTTTATACAAAACTGATTTGATCGTATAGTTAACATCCAATAAACGTGATTTTTTACATGCATATAATATTAGACAAGTTCTATATATTGAACGGTTCGGATTATCAAAACAGAACCTATAGTGGGCCCCACAAACCCAACTTTACCATCTAATTTAGTGAAAGTACACATGTGATTTTTTTTCCCCCTTCAATGCAGTTGCTTTGACGTGAGTACGTGGGCCAAAAAATTGATTTGTATTTTAATATTTGTATATTAATTTTTTAATATTTTTTTGGGTGAATAGTGATAACTTTTTAACTTTTTGATAACTTTTTGACTTTTTAGCTTTTTTCAAAGTTGCAAAACCAGCCCTTGTTGAAGACACTAGTTACTATATTTGAAGGGCAAAATCGTCATACAACTTATTTTGTATTAGTTAACTTATATGTTTTTTGAAATATAATCGTTTTTTTTTTTAAATGAATAACGTTAAAACTTTTTTAGTTATAAAGTTCTGTTTTGTATAGTTTTCAATTTTTTTTTCTAAAAAATTTAAAATTAAATTGGTGAAAAAAATTTAAAAATACATCATTTTTATATAATTTTATCTTTTGGAAAAGTATAAATAATTTTGTAAAATAATTTCTTTGATATTTATTTCATTAAATTAGTTTTTATTTTTGTCAAAAGCCAAACATGGTGACAATTTTGATATCATTATTAAACCAATCAATTTAATCAAAAAATTCAAAACTAAAAATATTTCATATATTAAACATATCGATTATATATTAAAAACCTAATAATCATCCAAATACAACAATATAACCATCCAAAAATATCAACAAAAACAACCACCGATTACATGATCATTATCCAAACACATACTAAAAATTAATTTGGTAAAAAAATAAAGAAAATAAAAAAGATTTATCATTTTTATATAATTTTATCTTTGGTGAGTAGAAATAATTTTTAAAAATTTAATAAATTTTTAACATTTATTTTTGTCAAATTAATTTATATTTTATCAAATTGACGACTCTACTCTTAAAATAAATCAACTATATCTTCAATTGTTCTTATTTAGAACGAAATTCAAAATTCAAAAGTAATAAATGTATCACAATTGAAATGTCAAGTATCAAAGTGACATAACCCCTAAATTACACAGACCGTTAGTGTTATTCACCTATTTTTTTTTTTTTTTTTGTTACACTAATGAAAATTTTTTTTTTTTTTTTGGAGTGCTACATTTGAGAAAAATATACATTGGAATGTTACGTTTGATTATTATATTAGAATGTTATGTTTAAGTGTTACAGTTTAAAATTATACATTTGTCCAAAATTTTACTAAAGAGGTTTTGTACTTTTAAAATATTTGAAAAATCCTACATCCTTTTGAAATGTTTGAAAATTTTATTTCAAGTCATTTTTGTAAAATTTTTTGAAATGTTTGAAAAACTCACAATCACTCCAAATAAAAAAAAATTTATTATATAAAAATTTATTCAAAATTTGATTCTTATAGGATATGTATTTTACCTTTCTTGCGTACGCGCGCGCAAAAGAAAAAAATAAAAAAATAAAAAAAAATAGAAATACTGTAAATCTAATATTTAAATAATATATTAAATTTACATTTTCAAAATCAATAGGAGTAATTAGTTTATAAAAAAAAATTGTTGAAACTAAACCAATCACTATTGCACAATATGAAATTTATAGTTAAATTTTTCATAATGTAATTTCAATCACACATCTTTTATCAAGGGTGCTATTGTGACCTATCGTGAAAGGTCGTCCCGAGCGTTTTTTGATGATCTGAACCGTTCATATTATAGGGTTCGTCAAAAATATTATCCATAAAAAAAATCAAATTAATCGGATATTTTTAACCCCATGATTAGGTCCTAACTTTTTTTTTAATTTACGAAAATTATGTTAACCGTTATTTTTATAAAAATAAATATGCTTTTGTTATAGGGTTGCAGTTATCCAATCAATTTGATTTTTTCTATAGATGATCTACTTGATAAATTCTATAATATGAACGATTTAGATTATCGATAGAGGCTCGGGACGACACTTCACAAGAGAGCACAACAAAATCCCATATCCTCTTTGTATCACCATGAATCCATGAATAAAATCATCTCTTCCGCAGACAGGGGATACAGAGTAGAGGATCCAGCCACGTACTTTCTGGGACAAAATATATTTTTAACTTTATTAATTTAAAACATAATCTTTTAATTTATTTTTAATCTAAATTATTTGTTTATTTTTTTAAGTAAATCAATAGAAAAAATAATTTTAACTATTAAACTAAATAAAGATATATATAAAATGTCAAGTTTAATAAATAAAATATTTAATTTTTTCATTAATTTTACTTAACAAAAATAGACAAATGATTTATATTAAAAAAAAAATAAAAAAATTAAAATTTAAGTTGACAAAATTAAAAATTTAAGATTTTTTTTTATTACAAAATTAAACACCAAGATATTATTATTATTATTATTTAAATTTTCCTTACTTTCTATAATACAACATTTCAATGAGTTTTTTATGCTCATATAATTTGATATCCACTAACCTAAAAAACATGATATAACATCACTTTGAATTCCACAATTGGATAACTTCATCCACTAATTTTTATTTTTTTATTTGTTTATATTTATATTTATTTATATTTTTTTGAAATAAAATCTAACATCTTCCATACATAGAAAGCATTACACTTAACATATGTTGTGAAATATAATAATTAAAAATATATATATATTTTTTAATATAAAAAATATTAACATCAATATTTCAGCTAAATGATTAATAAATAATTGATGATGTTAAATATTACAAATACTAAAAAAAAGTTAGTATAATTTGTACTTTATTTTAAAATAAAACATCGATGATACAAAAAATTATTTACAAAACCTTCATTACCATATCATTCTTGGGGTATTTCTATATATGTATATGTATATATATATATATTTTTTTTTTCCGATGATGCTAGCACTAATTAGTTTACTAACTAATGTACCAGCCAGTGTTATACCATTATTACTGATTCCACCAATTATACAAATTACAAATACTAAAAATCTCTAAAATTATGTCATATCATTTGTTAGTACACTAATTGAGAAATTAGAGAAAAATGGGGAATTTGAAGAAAAAAAAATTATTACATATTTATAATATATATATATATATGATTTTAATTATTAATATTTATAAATTTTATCACTTATTTATAATTATTTTTTAAGTTTTACACTGATTTAATATAAAATTTCCCCAAATCAAAATAGTTATTAAAAAAAGAAAAATTATAAACACAAACAGAATTCATACAAAAAAAAACTTGACAATAATGATATAACAATACTATTATTGTCAATAAATCCATCTACAATAATATTTTATTTTAAAATAAAAAATTCATAATAAATCACATCATTATATATATAAATTATGTATAAATTTTTTATTTATATAAAATTACTCTTAAAGACAAATCACAACCTACAATTTGATTAAGGATTCGTTTGAAAAGTGAGTTAATTTTTTAACTTTTTAATTTTTTTAACTATTTTAATTTAAGACTAAAAAGTCTCGTTTGGAATTTTTTTTTTAACTTTTTTAATTTTTTGTGAGAAGAAGAATGTAATGATTATAAATTAAATGTGATATTTTATCTTATTAAGTCAAAAAACCTATTCTATTTTTTTATGACTAAAATAATCTCAAACTCAACCCAATTCAACTCATTTTATTATTTTTTTTTTGACTAAAATAATTCCAAAGTCAACCCAATTCACAACCCAATCCTTCTTTCCAAAGGAAGATGTTCCACCCACCGAATGAGACATGCACGGAGCCACAGTTTCTCGACGTAGATAGACATCACATTCATCTTTAACAATTCTAATCTCAAAAAAAATAAAAAATATATAAATATATATAACATTAAAAATATTTGGAAAATAGAAAAAATAAAATAAAATAAAATATCTATATCAAAGGATATGGACAGAGAGACCCTCGTGCCTAGGAAAAAGGACTGGGCTTAGTTTGAACAACACTTTCAACGAAGGTTTTGTTGAATTTTAACACAATAATAGAAGAGGTCCAAAAATCATTTGACAAGGATTTATCATCATCATTCACAAATAATGTCCATATTCCAATCCTTTTGTCATGTTCCTCCAAACTGTGATTTTGAACAACAACTAGTCAATTTGACAACAAGCTTCTTGTAAAAATCATCCAGCTATCTAATGCATTTGCAGTCCAGCCGGGTAGATTAAAATGCCAAATCAGTCGACATGAACGACAAAGACCCTCGTATTTGATTAAAATTAACATCAATGATTAGAGACTCTAATTTTCTCCGTCGACTATATATCCTCTTCATTTTGACTTCACTGTCAACGACAACATGTCAAGCGTTCTTTCTAATAAGGAAAACATTAGACACATCATCAAATTTGACCACCATCAAACCAAAATGCAATGAATCATTTATATTATGAGCATAAACTACAGTTTTTTTACATTTAACATTTTTTTTTCAAAGATTGATTGTCTAGTGGCGGTCAAAAAAGATCTTCGAAAGAAATTTCGAAGGTGTGCATTAACAAATTAAGAAATGGAGAACCAAGAATCAAGATAGAAGGAAAAATGGAAACAAGAGACAAAAAAAGCTCTGATCCTCTGGTTTTATGACGACTATTATATTTCACTGACCTCACCTTCCCTACATACACCGACATCGATCACCATGCTTCTTCTCTTCGAGATCATGACCCTGCAACAGTTTCTCCGTGGAGACTGCAAACAAACAATTAAACCCGCATTATAAAAACAAGTCACAATATACACTAAACAAAACAATGACGCACAAATTACAGATTAGCCGCAAGAAAACTGCCCACTTAGTAATGACTCAAAAAACTCAAAATTTCAAGAGTTTAAAGTGGGATCTAAGTCAAAATTTCAAGCGTTTAAAAGTGGGATCTAAGAGCACGTGGCGATGGTGCAGTGGTAGCGGACAGACGATCAGGCCATATATTGCAATAGAAATTGACCACCCACATATTACACTACCAAAATGAATCATTACTATTGCAATAGAAATCATGTTTTATGTTATGTAATGTAGGACTGCAGTCAAGTTTAAAATATGGGCTGTTCTGTATTTCGGATTTTGGACTTCCGATACCGTTATTCATCAATATATTAGTCCATATTGTTCGATACTGTTTTATATTGGCCGACATAAGACCGTATCGCGTATCACCGATACCGATATATATCTTGATATCGTTATTTAAAACTATGCATGGAGTATAAATGTTCCATCTCAGTATAGATCAAGATGTTGCTTACCCTATCCCATAGATGAGGGTCGGGTTTTTTGTAAACCTCGACCCTGTCAAGGTCAGAAGGATCCACCATCTTCCATTTGCACACCGGATGAGGCACGCGATGCCGAGAATACTCGCTCACCGTTTGATTCGTGGAAGAATCTAACCTCACCTTCGTCATGTAGAACACAAACGGCTTCTGACAAGGATTCCGGGCAACCGGTCGCGTGTTGAATGCATAGGCCGTGTAATCAGCTCTCTTGTACCAATTCAAGAATGTCCTTGAGGGCATTTCTATCTCCCGTGGGGATAAAATACCTCGGAAAACTTGGACTGCGAAGCCCCATGATACTGAGACTGTCCACTTCTTCGCTTTATCATAGCAAATTGATTGTTGTATAATACCTGCTGAATCGAGCTTCATAGGGATCGTGAGCCGCCGCAGGGCTTCCACCTGTGTCACATTAGGGAAAATTGGCTCGACCACATCTAGATGGTGCATCGTCACCAATGGTGCCACCGGGTGAGCCGCTAGGAGCCCAAATAGGTTTCCAAACACATCAAACTACAATTTCATTCACCAACAAAAAGAGTCACCATTAGAGAATTGAGAGAAGTAATGATATCATACATTGCCAAAACTTTCAAATTAAAAATATTACTAGTAAACAATTATCACTATCAACCAGCATGTGTCGGCTAGGCGACTAGAAGAACAGATTGAGTTGCAAACCTGATTTTACTCAATAATAGGACTAGGACCCTGAGGATTCTATAGACCCAAGTTACAGTGTAGTGAACTTGAACACCATATACTAGTAAAGATAGATACCCCCATTGAATGTGGTTGAAGAAATTAATAAATTCCTATGTCGGGGTCTAGTACTAAAGTGTTAGGTGCGAGTTCTGTTTAATTGAATCAGTTAAATAATTAATTATATTTAAAAGTATTAAAAAGGCCATGTTTTAAATTTTTTACATTTAAATCATTAATTTCAAGAGAAAAGAATCCCTCAGAAACAGATCTTTCCCTCTATATCATTTTAAAAGCACTCCAATGAAACAGTAAAAAAAAAAGCAACAATTCAACACAAAAGTAATTAATTCCTAGAATTCCCAAATCCGCAACACAAAACACAAAATTACAGTTCTCAAAACAAAATGCAATCTAGAATTAAATTTGGGAGCTTTTTTCAACAATTGTTGGCAAGAATTGGCAAAAACAAAGCATCAAAACAAAAACAAACCCAAAAAAAAAATACAGAGAAGGAAAATCATTAGCAGAAAGAAGAAAAACAAGAAAACAGAAAAACACAAACCTGGTGAAAACCGGGTTCTTTGGTGAGTGGAACACCGAGTTCAGCCATACAAGCTTGCATACGATCATCAGAGGCGAACAAACCAGGGTACCTCTGAACACACCTATCTTGCATTTTCTCCAAAGCTTTAGCCAATGGGTAGCTAATCGCAAACCCACCACCCCCAAACGCCATACTCGACGAAAAATATATGTTCTGCAAATGACACTCGGAAGAACTCCCGATGTAATAATACTGATTATGATCATATTTCGACAGAACTCTCACCAGGTTGTCTGTCACAAACACAGTATCATCGTCCCCCATCACGAACCACCTTACACCCTCAAATCCCAGCCTGAATGTCTCCGACACGATCCTCGAGATCCGAATCGCCGACCTGTGTCCCTGCCGGTTCGAGTACGCGAACCGGGTCGTGTCCCCAGAGAGTTTGAGTCTCGGGAGTTTGTCGTCGGGTCGGCTCTTGACCGGGCTGTCCAGCCAAACCACGCCTCTCATCTCCTTCGGCTTCCACCAGAGTTTGATGTAATCTTTTCGGTGTTCCCAGAAAAGGGCCGACCCGGCAATGCCGAAGGCGATGTGTTTGAGACCCGTTTCTTCGGGTCCGACGGGTGGAGCCATATCCGGCGGCTGAATCTGAATCGGTGGCGGGGATTCGGAGGAGGACGAGGTTTTGTTGGGCTGTGATTGGCGGAGAACGAAACGACTGCGTGAGGTTGTGAACAGAGGATCATCGTCACAGGCTCGGGAGGACGAAGAGACGAGCTTGAGAGTGTAGACAACGTAGGAGACCAAGACGAAGAGGATGAGCCAGACCATGAATTTGGGCAAGATACGATTTTGGGAACCAGACGAAATAGGTGGTCCAGATGGGTTTCTCATCTGATCCCAACCCACCTTCTCTGAATCTTTCTGGGTCACTTTCATGGCCTCAAATGGAGGCTCACAATACGATTAAATCAACGAATCGAGTGGTGTTTTGTTTCTTTGTAATGGGTTTTCAATCTTTTTTTGAGAAAGATAAACCAGATCTGTGTAATGGGGGGTTTGAAATTGAATCTCTGTTGGAAATTTTAGGTAAGAGGAAGAGAGATTGGTGGGGATTGAGGATGACACAATAAAAGAATTCAGTTTGGGGTAGCTGAGGAAATCAGGAGAGGGATATAGGGTTAGAGAGTGAAAGAGGAAGAAAGTTTCAGAGATGAATAAAAAGTGAGAGCATGCATTGCAGCCAGGTTGCAACACTATGGAGCTACATGGACAGACTGCTTATATCATTCTAACTTTGGATTTATACACATTATATAGGTACACACACACATATAGAGAGAGAGAGAGAGAGAGAGATATTTGGTCATTGGTGACAGTGCCACTACTGTAAATTCCATACAATTCAATTGGATTTATAAATATGATTATGAACCAGAGATTAGTGGACACAAACAACATAGGCCAAGTTCAACAATTCAATGAACAAGACTCCTAGTCAGTACTTTCTATTTTTTTTTTAATTTATCTTGGTAAATCTCAAGTCACAATCCTATTTATTAATGCTTTACAGTATAATATGCAGTATTAAAAAGTGAAGAAAGATTATGGTACATGTGCCTATCCTTTGTATTTTGTAGTTATAGAAAAAAATAATATAATTTTATATTTTTTAAATTATAATTAAAAAAATTCATGAGTAAATACAAAAAAATATAATTAAATATTTTAAAAGAAAATTTATCAATAAATCTCATGAAAAAGAATATTTATCCAATTAATTCGGTATTTTTTCTCTAATGAACCATTTAATCTTATTTAATTTAGCAATGAGTATTTATTTGATTTGATAATGTTGAAGTTTACAGTTCTATGCATGACATGAGATTCCTTTTGCATTTACTGATGATTGACTTGTGGGATTTGGGAAAGTAATGTATGCAACATTTCCATTAAGAGGTGATTCCAGAGTGTTTCACAATGGTAGGGTTCCATTTAATTATGGTTAACGTCAGATTTACTAATGTTTGACTTGTTTTCATCACCTTCAAACGCAGCAGGTTAACACTAGTTAGTCAAACAGGGCAGGTTAACACTAGTTATAGAGAGGATATTGAACCTCTTTGCTAGCAATGTTTTGAAATTCGGCTCGGATTAGCCAGTCGGACCGGTTAGACAGGGAATTGGGTCTCGTTCCGGCTTGATCAATCCTCTAAAACCAGACTGGGTGCAAAACTGATGTAGAAATAAAAAATCGAAAGACCCGATGGTCGAACCGATAAAACTGGTGACTCGGACCGGGTTTGGAGGATTGGACTGTTTTTTTTTTCTTTCTTATATATCTATATAATAAGGGAAGAAGGTTTTTGAATATTTGATGGGACTTTTGTTTATTTGTCAAAGTATGAACCGTTAGATTGGTTCAATCCCATGGTTGAAAATGTTTCCCACACTTGGACATTTCAATGGTTCAGATTTTTTTTTGGGTGAATATCAAATGGTTGAGATCAGTTTTCCTTTTAGCTTCTAGATTTTCACATATTTACACAAACATCTTTTCTCTCTCTCTCTCTCTCTCTCTCTCTCTCACATTTTGATTTCAAAACCGTTTGAAGCTCTGCTCTCTCACACCTCTTCCTCTTCCTCTTCCCACCACATATCTTCCTCTTTCCACCAAGCTTTCTCTCTCCGGTGGTGATTAGCTCCGACGGAATATAGCTCCGGTGGTGATATCCGGAATATAGCTCCATCTGCCTCAATCTCTGTCTCCTCTCTCCCTACACAGCTCCAAGGTAGAAAGCTATCCTCCATGTTGTTTTTTGTTGTTTTTTTTAGGTGGTGTAAGAATCTAGGGTTTCCCCCCTCTTCTATTTCCAGAATATTGCTCCATCTGCCTCAATAGGGGTGGAAGAATCTAGGGTTTCTCCCCTTTCTATTTGGGTTTTGAAAATAGAGGTGGAAGTTGTAGTGATTAACCCTAATGAAATCTAGAAAACCCAATATGTTGTTCTAGAATTGAGTATTATGAATTTCTTTTGTATACATAAAATTGGTTTAAAGTTGTATGTAAATACTAGGTTTTGAATTTCTAGAATTTGTATACTCGACTTCTGTTTCAGTTGGTCGCTCTGTGTTTTCGTCCTCTGTACAGAACCCAAAAAGGAAAAGATTTTAAAGAGAAAAAACAAAGACAACCCATTTTAGACGAGACCATCTTTTGCTGATTGAGTTTATAGTTTTCTTGGCTCATTTGAGCTACCAAACGGAGGTTCAGACTCAGTCCTATTGCTCCTCTTTATATTTCTTTTAAATGTTTTATTTCATGTTGTTGATTATTAGTTGAACATTGAAAAAGCTTTTACACCCTCTATTTGTTCTGACAGAAAGTAGTAGTTGCTAGAAAAAAACCCAATTCTTTGGATGGTTGCTTTTATCAGTTCTTCATATTTCTTCTATTACTTCAATTGGGTATGTGGGAATTTGAGTTTTCTTGGAATATTTTTTTCTGGGTATACTTTGATTATTATGCATTCATGAGGAGGTAAAAATTAAATAAATATAATCAAGGGTTTAGATCCAGAGGCTTCAATTGTTTATGGGTCATTTACATTGGGCTCCATAGTAAAACGCACAAAACTGATGACAATGTTGAGATTGTTAGGAGTGAACACATTTAAGGTTAATTGTGAAATTGATTTTTGATTTGCCATAACAACTACTGTTTGAACAACAACATGAATTGTGATTACTGTTCCTGAAAATTAGATTGGAATTGGAATCAGCTTTTCATCAAACAATGCTCTGCATTTTGTGGATGTATGTAGATAATTGATTTTTTATTTTTGATTTTTGATAACAGTTATTTTTAAAATCACTAAATGATTCCCGGATGATCCTCTTAACAAGTTCAAGAACCAAACATGCTGTCAAAAATTGCTTGAGTTGACCGGAATAGCCTTCCGAGTTCCAACTGTGGATGTTTCAGTTGTGGACCTCACTGCGAGGCTTGAGAAGGCAGCTACATACCAGCAAATCAAAGATGCTATCAAGTGAGTATTCAGATTTCCTTCAAATTCACCTCATTATGTAGTATATTAGATTGGCAAATTGAGATTTGCATAGTTGTATGAAATTTCTTTGGCTGCCAACTCTTGATTAGCATGTGACGAGGTCTTTTATTCTTTCTTGGTTAATTTCAGGGAGAAATCTGAGGGCAAACTCAAGGGTATTTTGGGGTTCACCGAAGACGATGTGGTCTCCACTGACTTCATAGGGGACAGCAGGTAGATTGTTATACTATTTACCATCTTAATACTCTAGCTGATTGTGTTACTGAACAGTTAAATGCCGTGAATTTGAAATATAAAACAAAAAATATAAAATATGTAGGTCAACTGGGCTTCTGTTTTCATTGGAAGAAGATAACAAATGGGCTTATGTTCCTTTCTTAGGTGGAATCTTACTTAAACCTTTATTAGTCAACTGCAAGTGCCATTTCACACCCACTTTTCTTCCTTTATTAGTCAAGGGTTTAGATCCAGAGGCTTCAATTGTTTATGGGTCATTTACATTGGGCTCCATAGTAAAACCCACAAAACTGATGACAATGTTGAGATTGTTAGGAGTGAACACATTTAAGGTTAATTGTGAAATTGATTTTTGATTACTGTTCCTGAACTGAATGAACAATGCTCTGCATTTTGTGGATGTATGTAGATAATTACAATTTCTTTCGTTTATCATTTTTGAAAGAAAATTAAATTTTTTACGAATTTACATAGTAAATATTTTTATAAAAATGCGTAATTTTAATATAAATTCATATACTTACATAAATTTTTATGAATTTATACATTCTTACTTATATAAATTTATAAAAATTTACGTAATTTTATATAAAATTACATATAAATGTATTACACAAAGAAATATTTCCTCATTTTGAATTGTAGGGTGCTTGGAACCATGGTAAAAGTCATAATTTTTTTTAACTTTTATTAAAATTATATCAAAAAAATTAATTTTTAGTCGGTCTTGCGGACACAAATTTAAAAATTCCAAAAAATAAACTATTAAGAAATTCAATTGCTTTGAATTTTTTTTTTTTTTTGGGGCCTTTCTAGACTTCTTTTCAAACTTTTTTTTTAAAAAAATTAGACTTCCTTTCAAACTTTTTTTTAAAAAAAATTATTTTTTCAATCCATCTAATCCAGTAAAATTCAAAATACTAAAGCTTATTTACATTTTTCTTTAAATTCAGTAACGACGTAAAAGAAGTCCAAAAAAAAGAAGAAGAAAAAAATCTTATAAAATGCTAAAGACAGCCATGAGACTGTAAATAGTGTTGACGTGTGTAAAACTTGAATGTACCATGGCTTTGCTCTTCTTCTGCTCTATCCTATTCATCGGTCCTAATTTCCCTTTTCATTGGAGGTCGTAACGACGACGATGACCCTACTCTTCTTCCAAGATTTATAGAGAGTGTGTGCTATTATTAGAGGGGAGAGAGAGAGAGAGAGAGATTGATATTTATAAGCAGAAAAAACTATACGTATATATATATAATATATATCTATTTTTATATATTAAATAGGGAATTTTAGAGAGAGAAATGTTGGGTCTGGAGCGGTAGCTAATATGGAGAAGGATTTTGATTCAAAGCTAAGGATTGAGAGCAATTCTTCCAATGGAGGGAACATATCCAGATCTAAGAGTTTGAGAATTGTGCATGTATATAATCATAGATTATGTATACGTATAGATGTTAGAATTTCTGTTTCTTTATTTTATTACACGTAACTTCTTGGAAATCACCATTTTTACCTAACATAAGTAGATGATACAGATGGAAATCACCATTCTTGGAAATCACCATTTTGAGAATTGTTTAGTAGTGATTTATTAATAACACCATTTTTACCTACCTTCTTGGAAATTACCATTTTGAGCTTCTCGCGAGGTTGTTTTTCTTTTTGATTATTTGTTTTTATTGACTGATTAATAACATATTTTGTATAAGCTAATTTATTATTATTATTAATAGTTAGTATAGAGTACGTGTGTATTCAAATTGTGAGATGGGTTTTTATATTTGGTTAAACATTCTGGAGAGTAATTGAGTAATTGAAGGAATTACTGACTTCTTTCAGCTAGCAATGGGTTTAATTCTGAGTTTTTGAATTTTGCTTCGAAGCTCTTGCAGGTTTGATGATCTTCACAATCTTCTCTTTGTTATGTTTCTTTTTCATTTTTTATTTATGTAGCTTTCAATTTATTTGGATCGGTGTTTCTAAACCTTAATATGTATTTGTTTTTCTTCGGCCTCATATAATTTATTTAGCAATGGGTTTGCTTTTCCTTAAATGGGTTTTGTTAGCAATGGGTTTGATTCTCAAATATATATCAGTTAGCAATGGGTTTTGTTTTTCTTTGGATCACCTATAATTTATTTGGATTGATGTTTCTAAACCTTAAACCTTAAACTAATTGTGAGATGGGTTTTTGTTTTTCTACTGCGCTGAAGGAAAAGCAGCAGCAGCAGCAGCTGCCCAGCTCTTCGGCCTCCTCTCCAATCTCCTCCAGCAGGTATGATTCCTGACATATATAATATCCTTATCTATGTATTTGTACCGTTTTTGTTTGGTAGATATGAAATTATAGAAGTGGCAAAACATGAGTTGGGTTTCAATTGTTAGGGTTAGATTCTCATTCTCAGTGTTCCTTTTGCTGCCATTTTATTGTTACAATCCGGAGGCTTCAATGTTATTTTACATTTTTTATGGGTCATTTACATTGGGCTCCATACTGTTATCATTAGAATTCCATTCTCCCAAACCCACAATTTTATTAATTAAAATCAACTCATCTCAATCTAATACATTTTATCCAAGCACCAAGAACTACATTAATTTTTGAACTGGTTGTGGTGACCATTGAGTGTAGAACACCATTTAGTGTATACTAGTTAGTTTTTTATTTTGTTGTACATGGGTGATCCTCCTGTTGTTATCATAGCAGCCACAAACCTGTGGTGATCCTCCTGTTAAAATTAGAATTGGGTTATTGGGTTTTGATTAAAATTAGAATTTTCTTTGATTATAATTATTTTATTAGAATTCTAAAATTAAAATTAGAATTATTTGATTCAATTTCAGTTTTTCTGTTATTGGGTTTTGTGAATTTTCTTTTTGTTTCAGTGGCTTCAAGGTTCTGATAATTGATCTGTTTTTGTCCGATGCTGCTCTCCAATTCTCCAGTCCTCGATTTTTGCATCTCGAACTTTGCTCGCAAGATAACCTTCATCATCTTCTGAATTTTTTGGATCTATCTTTGCGCCGCCTTCCAAGGTATTCATTCCATTTTCCCACCACTTCGAATTGTGTTGATTGTGGACATTTGACGAGTTCTTTGCATTTTCTTTGAATTATTTGATTCAATTTCAGTTTCTTTGCATTTTCTCTGAATTTTGTTAATGGGCATTAGTTTTTTTGTTTCAATGGCTTCAAGGTTCCGAGACAAATTAGATCCAATTTGATATAAATGGTGTTTCTTTTTAATATAGAAACTGGGCAAACCCTTTTTCCATTGGATTGATAATAGTTTATTACTTGAGTCTTTCAGCTCACAATTAATTGGAATAAGTTTTTTTTTTTTGGTTTTTTTTATAAAAAAGACAAACTAATTTCATGACTCAGAAATTTTACCAAGTTTTTCTGCTAAACTACCAACTAAATTAAGCCTTAGAAAACGTAGGCTTGCACCCTCTTTACCATTGGTTTTGACAGAATGTCTGTGAGTCCTTCATATTGGTTTGAAATTTTAGGAAATTACGAGACATGAGCATCTTAAAGGAGTTGGAAAAATTTGTTCTTTACCTGCTCACAAAACTTTTTGCTTTATTGTTTTCAGTTCTCCTTGCAATATCTGTTCCATAAATGAAAAATAATACATGGAAGTGAAAGGTATGCATTCCTTTTAAGCATTAAATTGTACAGATTCAGTCAGTTTGTTTGTTTGTTTTTTTTTTTTTTGCCAGCAAATAACAACCACTTTCTATAATAGGAATGCACTTACAAATACTTGGTAGCATGGGATTTGTTACATTTGAGAGGGACACAAATGCCTTGAGAGCCAGAAAAGTATTGATACCTAGAATAATAAACTCTAATTCCCTCTCAAAACAAGAATGAAATCAGAATCCAGAAAAGCTCATAATGTTGCAATAAAAAATAAAGAATAAAAAGACATCCAAAGGGATTGCCCCCATTTTGGTCTAATAATAACCCAAACCCCTGTAACATCAAGGGGGGCAATTTTGGCCACATTATTGTCCAACCATGAAAGCAATATCAGAATAATGGTTCCAGACCTTTCTGTTCAACTCAAAAATAAATAAACTTATCATTTCACAGCCATTCCCATAATATAATTTTGATTTTTGACAAACAAATAAGGTATGTGTACATTACTTTTGAGATCACATAATATGAACAAATATCAAAGTTCCGTTTCATTCAAGCTAGAATAAGCTCCTTTTGCTTAGGATATACATGTTTATAAACCAAATTCAATATTATATCACATAATTCCTGACCATATAGTCAATTTTCTGTTAGGAACAGAACCCCAATTTAAAACAACATTATGTCAATAGGTGTTTAAACAATCATCTAAATATCGCTGACCTCTAATTCCAGTTCTGTATGCCAGGCTGTTTTGGGAGATGATGAGCAGAAACTGGTTTAATGAGAGAAGAATAGTTTTGGCATCGGAGAGAGAGGATGACTTATTGAGAGAGTTCATGAAAAGGCAAAGAATTGGACATTAGTTAAGAATTGTAGGCAAGTAATCTTATTGACACATTTTTTTTTTGTTTTTCCTTTTTTAAATGTTGTGACTGAGGAGGATGAACCAGACACTTCTTGCTATTTTTGGTCTCAAAGGTACTGACTCAACACACACACGGTTAATGAAATGTTTGATTCTTTAATAAGAAATGGGTGTTAATTTTTTTATTCATAAAATGGGTTTTTCTATATTATGAGTTTTTCTATTGTTTGCTAAATACTCATAAATATATACGGATCTATAAATACTTCTGAGTTTGCTAAATACTCTTTAAATGATGATATGGATTTTCCTATATTTATTGGGCTTTTTGTGTTTTTCTATTTTTTTTCCCCTTTATTTGGGAGTGGGGATTGGTAAGCTGTGATAAATATATATATATATATATATATAGTTTCAGCATTGCCTATTACTTTTTTAAGACCCTATAAACAATTGTCCCCTTACTGTGTGTTGTTGATTTGTTGTTTTATCCATTGAATTTTATTATATCAGTTTAGTCTTATAGTTTATTTTATTTCAATCTAAATTTTGTTGGCTGCTGCCTATGAGCTAACCAAATAGATCCAAAGGGGCTGGTTTCATATTTTGCTTATGGTCATGTATTGCTTAACAAATATTCAAAATTTATTTAAGGTTGGAAGCAAAATGAATCTGAATGGGTGTAGGTGAAGATTGAAGAAGATGATGGAGGGTTACATACACAAAATTGATGGGACTAAACTGATATAATAAATGGCTTTGGGTTTTTGGAAGAAAATAAATGGGGTTTTTTAAGTTGTATTGATTTGTAAATGATGGGAGAATTAAGTTAGTTAGAGTTTGTTGTTGAATTACCAAGCGAAGAGTTTGCTTTTTAAATTTTATTTTATTAAATTTTTTCTTAAGAACACGTCTTTCTTAAATTCCTTCTAACCTTATGTGATCAATTAAAGGAAGTTCCAAAAAGAAAGAGTTGAACACGTCTAACCTTATGTGATGAACACGTCTTTCTTTCTTAATATTTTTATCAATCATTAATTTGTATTTGTGTTGATAATGTGTTGTGTTTATTCGTAGTGTTTGCATTGGGTAACCAATTATTATTTTGCAACAATGTATGTGTTTGGTTTGAATTGGGTGGTCTATAAAAAAACATTTCATTAGTATGACAATGCGTGTGTTTGTTTTGAATTGGGTAGTCTCTTTTAATTATTATATTGGCTTTTTTTCTATTTTACAGGTGGATGAATACTACAAGCGAATGGTAATATTGACTGCCTTTTTACAAGTCTACATTTCTTCAGGTTTAAGTTTTTCTTATCTCTCTAATGATTTTGTATTTATTGTTGTATAAACTAAACGTGCACTTCTTTGATTGATGAGCGTTGAAAGAGGGGCAATCTCGAGTGAGCAACAATCTCGAGGGCAGAATTTACGCTATTTTTGGTTTTATCGTTGACAAACTTTGAAAATAATTGATGTTGTAGAAACTTATATAGATTTGGTTTGGTTTGAGAGGTAAACATTTGAAGGTGTTTGTTATTTAGATTTTGATCAAGAATACTATTTTCGTATTGGCATGGTGTGCTCCAAAGGGAGAACACCATTTTGTTGTTCCTTTTATTTGAAGTTGTGTTTATAATAAAGGAGATCCCCTTGCTCAAATATATGTTATCTATTCATTTTTTGTATGTCATGGTAAAACAGTTTAGGTATGCTTGATTCTCAGTGTTCCTAGCTTAAGAGAGAATGACATATGAAAATTATTCAAACAAAATATTATTTACACCATGCCTAAAGGCACGGGCATACACTAGTTTATATATATGTAAGTATATTCTAAAATTTTGATTAAAAATTCTTACTTCAAGAGTCTCCTCTCATAAGGAAGAGTTTCATTGGAAGTTTGAGAAGATTATGAAAGTCTATTCCTATTTATAGGAAAAGATTTTTCAAAGAGAACCTACAAAATTCTATGTGGGATTTAATCAAATTATTTGAAACATATTGATTGGAGGGAGAGTTGAAAATTCCATTTCCCTCCAAAATTAAATCTAGCATTCAATCAATTTGTTTGGAGGAAATGTTTAAAAAATTAATTTCTTTAAAACAAGTGACTTTTTTTTTTATCAACTATGACTTTATTAAATATTATTAATAAATACTATGCAATAATTTTTATTTTTATTTTTATTTGAGTATTTATATATATTTTTATTTATTTATAATTTATAGTTATATATTTTAATTATATGATATTAATTATAAAGTCACGGTTTAACCACTTTGACCCGACAGTTGAACCGATGACCCGTTCATCAAGTCCCTTTTCCAATTCGCTTACCAGTCCGATTTTCAAAATATTATTTGCTAGACTGTAAAATTGTTTCCATATTCTCTTTGCCATAAGCATCATTCTTACGAGAGAGAGAGAGAGAGAGAGAGAGAGAATGAATGGGTTCCAGATCCATGTCAGAGAAGCCTCATGTAGTGTGTATACCATTCCCAGCTCAAGGCCACACCAACCCCATGCTAAAACTAGCCAAACTTCTCCATACCAAAGACTTCCAAATAACCTTCATTAACACAAAGTTCAACCACAAGCGCATCCTCAAATCCTGAGGCCTTAACTCGCTCGACGGCCTCCCCTCCTTCCGCTTTGATATTGATATTGATGTTGCTAGACTTGCTTTTTGTGGGCACTACCGTCACAACACACTTAGGTCCTGTTTGTTTTGGGTGAAAGAGAGGGTATTGGGATTGTTAATACCAAGATATTAGTAATAGCCTTGTTTGTTTTGGGAGAAGGTCTTGGGACTATTAGTCCATTGGTATTACTAATACCTTTGGAGAGGGGATTGGTAAGGAGGAGGTAGAGATGGTATTAGAAAAATAGTGAGGGGATTAGAAATTTTTTATTTTTTTTATTTTTTATATATGGGAAATTTTTTTAAAAATATAATTTTTAATTTTTTATATTTTTTTATTTGTTTTATTATTTTATATAAAAATAATTTAACAATTCCTCACTATCAATCCCCTCACTATTAATCCCCTCCATTCTATCTCCTAAAACAAACGGGGCCTTAACACTAACATTTCAATGTTGCGGCTAACGATACTTTTACAATCCAACAAACTCACTCACCGTGCTAACCCATGACATACAGCAAAACATATTGCCATGACAATTGCACAAAATGATACCCAAACATTAACACAAAATAAATAACTAACATCACCATATGAATCTCAACCACACATCCCATCCACACTTGTCCCTTAACATCAATGCATACAGTAAACAACAACAAAGTTTGACAACTAACGTCGAAACGCCATAGGCACGCCCCCGCACCAAACATCAGACAACTATGACATCATCATTACACGTTCACATGGTGATGTTAGGGGACTCATTTCCACCACATCGCTTACCTCCAAACAAACTAGCACTCCCATCCTTATGTGCGACTACTGCATCCCATGAACAAAGGGTCTTGACAATGCAACCCCCCTCAAAAAAAATTTCCTGTAGCTACCATTGTACACCACCAATGCAATTTCCCCCCTCACAACGGTGATTAACATTGAGTTGAACGCTACAGAACAACAACCACGAACAATTACGCCCCTAATACTGCACACAAAACAATTAATGAACATTACACCACCCACGTCTCCAATGTAATTCGATGCCCCAAAGCCCTAATCACACAACAAAAATGTCAATGATAGTTCAACATTATGACATTAATGACCACTGCAAAACATGCTCAAAAATGTAACGTCAGACACAAAAGCTTCATGAACTCACAATGCCAAATCAAACGACATAAAAACATTATGACGTAGCAGATACCTATTCTCATTTTACACATAGATATACCGCCGGCGATGAAGGTGGAATTCTGAAGTCACTGCAATATGTCGTCATCGCCAGACAACAAGGCAAAATCGATCAGCATTCGCTACCAGTCAACGTTTGGAACAAAGGGGTTTCGATGTGGTTGGGTTTGTGGGGTTCTTTCAAACGTAGAATCAGCGAAACATGGAAATATGAATTAACATCATGGGCCTAGGATTTACCAGAAGTAAATCAAATATCAATGATCTAACATTGGCAACAAAGATCTTTCCATTATCGTCTCAAATGTTAAACGCATACTGTGCGCTCTTTGGATAGATTTGTAATTTCTACATTTTATAAAACCCATTATATCCCTATTTGATGTCAACCACGCTCGAAAACAATGGATATTAATGTAATTAACATTAGGCCAAGACTTATTAGTTCATAAGATAAATTGTAGGACTAAATGGTTCAAAAGATCTGATTTTAGGATTTATTGGTGTTTTACCCTATTTTAAAATAATATCATAATTAAAAAAAATTGTCATAATTAAATATATATATATATATATATATAACTAAAGGTACATATAATAGTTGAGTGTAGAATAAAATTCTCCTAAAAAGTTTCACTTCTTCTCACTTGTGTCTCCTTTATGAAGTAAATATTTTCAATTTATCACTTCACCCAAAATCCTTAATGCAAATGTACATTAATTGGGATAAGGAGTGAATGAGATGTCAAAGCTTTGGTTATGGTTTTCCCTTGGGAAGAAGTAATTGAACCTAGGGGTGTTCGCGGATCGATTTTGTGCGGTTTGCGGTTCGGTTTTGACCCGCCCGCATTTATGCGGTTTGGGAAAAAGTCAACCCGCAACCGTCCGCAGTGCGGTTTGCGGTTTGTGCGGATAGGGTTTGCAAATGTACGGGCGGTTGTGGGCGGTTTGCGGTTTACACTTTTTTCTTTAAAAATTAATTTTTGAGTTTTTTTTTCCGATTGAATTTAGGCATCAGATTCATTTTATATATTTGTGATAACAATTTTCTGATGAGTTTACAAATAAAAATTGAATATCAATGCATTAAATGAAAGTATCCAAAACAAAGAGACCCTACACTAGCATTTTTGCCATAAAAAAAATGTATATCAATGCATTAAAGGTTGTACTCAATTAGAATTGTCAGTTTGGTAATCAATAATCAAACTAGAAGTTCTATCGACCACCAGAAGAAAAATTTTATTAGGAAAAAGTGGATGAATCACCAATGAAAATCATGTAAGAAACCAAGTTTAGGACTTAATAATTCTACGGCATTAAGAAAGTTGAGAAATACTTAAAAATAAGGATCCTAGTGTCATAGAGAATATAATGGTGTTCCTGTAAAAGTTACAAAGTTGGTATATAAAAAATAATAATAATAATAATAACAATTAAAGTGCGGGCGGTTTTTGTGGGTTGCAGGTTTAAACCGCGACCCGCCCGCAACCCGCAAATTTGTCATATTTCAAACCGCATCCGCCCACATTATGTTTGCGAAACCGCCAATTTATATGCAGGTTGGGCGGTTTGAGCGATTCGGATAAACCGTTACCCACCCCTAATTGAACCCCTCAAGAATTGAAAAAAATTTCAGTTAGTCTCAGACAACATACAATTCTCTTACCAATCACTAAATATTATTTTCTTATTGTTCTGCCATTATTCAATACCAAATTGTGAGTCTGACTTCTTACACCAATTACAATACTTATGGACACCATCTAATCAAGCTTAGGGCCACCAAATAACTTATCAAAGAATTACCCTTCCTATCACAGAGTACATTCATTGATATCTTCCTTCAATGATTCTCATAGATCTAAAGGACACTTTGGTAACTTAATATATATTAGTAAAATTTGAAAAATCCCTTAAAAAAATAAATAAATAAAACATTTGAGTAAATGTTGGATGGAAATCCAAATCCACGTACTTCAAGAATACTAGGCAAAATGCCTTTTAAAGGTACACAAAAAATTTTAAGGGTGGGTCTAGTGGCTTGAGATTTGGAGTTGTGGGATCTGTTTCCTATATGTTTTAGGTTTGATTTGCCCAATCAACATAAAATTCTTGAGGTGACGGACTACAGAAAAATTTATTTTAAAAGGTTTCGTGTTTCAAAAGATTTGTTTAAATTGTAAGAATTTAGTTTGATGTGTGAAAACTAGTGTAATAAAAAAAAAGTATATAGAAAAGTACAATTTTAATCTTGCCTAACTAATTTAGCTAAGTGTACACTTCAACCATACTCTTTATTTTATTTTTAATCAATCAAACTATCTGTAACTAATTTTTAAAAGAAAAATAGTATAAACATAAATAAAAGATATTATTTTTTGATAATATGTTGTTTATGCACCTAGTGTTGACGTGACATTTACAAAAAATTATTTATTTTTTAAATATATAATTAAATTATTTTTTAAGATAATATTCTTACACAATCATATTTTTAAAAATAACAATGGGTTAGAACAAGCAAAAATACAACAAAGATTAATGGAGCAAGAATAGATTGAAATCTCAAAACAGAAGAAAAATTATTTTGCCTAGCAATGGAAGCTAGCTACATGTAGAGGTCGAAAATGAGAATGGACAAATTGGCTTTTGTAATGCAGAACTTGTTGGAGGAAGAAAAAATCAACTTCACTAGCAAAAATGTCTCATGTGGTCCTTTTACCTCCTCCTTTGAAGATGCTCTTATGCTCACACGGTTTTTTTTCTTTTGTTTGTTTTTGTTTTTTCAGATTTTGAGTCTCATAA